CACCACATTCTTACCGGACTACCCACCAACAGGTTGAAATAAGAGACCACAAGGCAACACCCCACACTAGCTTCTTCTAATAGCACATAATGTCTGGCAGACATATACCAGTATCTGAGAGGGGGGTGTCTTAGAAAACAGACAAAACTATCATCATCTCCTAGCACATGTCACCCTGTGTTACAGCTGACTAAGGGCTAACAGTCTGGAGGAAATGCACGGTGAAGTGTTTCACTGTGTAATGTGATCAGTAATAAGATTGTTATAGAGCATGAACTTCAAAGCTTCATTTAGGCTATTTTAAGAAGGTTTTTAAATATTTGGATCAGAACGGAAATATCCAGGTACTGAAAGTGGACTTGAAAATCTACTGTAAACATCCATGAGTGTTTCCAAATGCAGCCTTCAGCTCCTTATAGCTATGGAAATGCTAAATCCTCTATTCCAGGCAGTAGGGCTAAATAAAATGTTGAGCCTTAGACACTTGTAAAACTACCTGAAAAATGGGACTAGAAAATAACATAGTTATTAAAGGGAAAGATTTAAACTGACACTCCCCTAAACTGTTCCTAAGTGTTCAGTCTTTTACATGTTTTACAAATGTCAAAGGTTCCAACACCTCTGTCCCTGATGAACTAGAATTCCCACTGGAACTTCCACTGGAGGAAATTATGCTCTTTATACAAATTGTAGCAGCTGAGCACTGGCCAAGCAGAATAGCTGTTGTACTCTGTTTACAAAGTTGTTTGCATAGCAATGGTAGATTAAATAACAGTTATGTAAGCAGCCTATTAACAAGTTATCAGATCCTACTATATCTTATTGTTAATGTGAAACTGGCCTAGTTTTATCGCCGGTGACTTTGTATATTTACCTTGGATATCATGTTAGGAGGTCATTGTTAGCTCCCACTGCAGCTGGAAAGAACTTTTGACAGCTTGGGTAGATAAGAGTTCTCCTGGCAATGCTTGAACATTGCATCGATTATACAGTGTGACAAAGTTTTTAATTTAGGTGTTCAGGAAAGGGCTTGAAGTTAGCCTGGGTACATATAAGCTTTGGTGTCCTTAACTACTTAGTAGGCAACCAAGTATGAGAATTGGTATTTGATACTACTAGGTTCCTACAATGAGTCCCTAGTATTCACTGCAGCTTCACCCTGTGGCCATACTACACCTACAGGCCACCACTCTACTCCCCCAAGGGCAAAGGAACATGTTGCTCTTTCAATCTTTTCAGTTATTTCTCTGAGTCTTATCTGAGTGAGAGTGAAATTAAGAAGAAGCAAGAATGAGAGGGAGAACAGACAAAGAGTGGCATCAAGACAGGCAAATTCAGATTTGGAGGCCTCAGGATAAGACTTCTGAGAAAATGTTTTTTCGCTGAGAAACCTGAGAACTTCACCTTTGGAGGTAGAGAATGTGCAATGAAATCCTTTATATTATATGCCTGTCTATACACTAGTTTCTACACTTCCAAAGCTTCAATAAATAACAGTACTTACCAAGAGCATTGCTTTTCAGAAAGTTATGTCATGGAAGTAGACTAATATTTATCTATTTCATCTATATTCTGACTATGACACCTACAGGCCAGAGAAGAACTGTGCAAAAGAGTGAAGATTATTTTTAGGGAAGAAAAACAAATTTCTTGCTCACTGCATCACAAGAAAAGATGTTTATGATAAGGCATATACCACTTGTGTTACTGAGCTAATAACGATACTAAATTGACATGCTTTTCTTTTTTTCTTTTAATTGAAAGTGGAGCAAACAACTGCTTTCCTAAATCTCTCCAAGAATATCTTTAACAGTGTAGCTATAGATTAGTGAGAAAGAACTTACAGAAGGATTGTGTAATTCCTGAAAAGTCTGTTCACTCTGAATAGCTACATTGTTCCATATGAGAATGCACAGATATTAAAATATAGTGCTTTTCACCAATGACTGTTGAAAAATTATTGCCTGAAAAGAATTGTGACAGCTTTTATCTTCCTCAAATTGAAAGAGGTCGGGAAAAAAGGAGTGTTTGCAACAGGGCAAAGGATGCTGTAATTTCTGTTTGCCACTGGATCCCACAAAAACAATGAATTTAAGTTGCCTTAGGCTGGTGAGACATGGTGCCCAACCCAGCTCTGATTACAGCTTCAGTAGTGACTCTGTGAAATGAAAACTTGTTCAAAACTTGAACACATGGGGAGGGAGGAAAGGTGTCAACACAGAATGAAGAAATAGAAGAAGGCATGGTAAAATTTTTATCTGCTGCAGGCCAGACATATCTTTTCAGAAATGTCACCAGTCTTTTTTGCCTGTGAGCTCCTTAAACGTGTCACATTACTGGGGAAATTACTTGGATAATACAGTACATGTAAAAGCTAGAATAGAAAAGATCAACTTGAATTAACATCAACCACTATCTCCTCTTAATAATGTGCAGTATAGACATATCACCATCTTAATCAGCCATCGGAGCTGCTGTCCATACTTCAGATACATCAACACTTTTGCTCTTCTTGTACATGGCAAAATATCTGGTGTCTGTTTTGGGGGTTTCCAAATCTCCCAATCTTTGCTTGCTTTGTTTCCCCTTCTTCCTTTCACAGAATAGTTTCTGATTCTTCCTAGGTACCCCTGAGTACTTCCCAATGGGAAGAACCATATCCTGGGTGAGGAAATAGGAAGTTTATTCAAACCTACTCTGTGAAAGAATTGGAGACTCCAGCCAAAGCTCCATTTATTTTAGTGAAAGGCTTCTAACCATGATTGCTGTTAATATTGCCATTACCAAGTGACTTAAGGAGACAGATTTAAACATTACTGAATATCTTTCACTACCAACTCCATCTACCATCTCCTCTGGTCACTCTGCATTTAATTCAGTTTATCAGAAAACAATTTTCCTCTCAGTCTATACCAAGCAACTGGTACCACTGCCTCCTATTCTTCATTGTTAAACTTTAACAGAGTGCTGTGATGAAACTAATTCTTGTTTGCATTGGCTCTTTTTGGCTCCAAACTCAATTTATTTTAGCTTTCCTTCAGCATCATGTCTCAAGAGTTACTGATTCACAGCTGAAGGAAAATAATTCAGTTAGCATCATGACAGAAACAGAAGGAACTCTGGAGTTAGTATTTTTTACCTCCCAGGTTTATCTAAAGCTATTCTTTGCTTTTATTCTCCCTATATTATGGAGGTGTATTAGTTATATTTTAATTTGACTTTGCATGAAGTGCATTTCTGAATATTAGCTGAAGTTTGCAAGATTAATGGACCCGGGAGTTTTTCACACTAGTTTCTACATCTTACATGGAAGGATTATCAGGGTATCTTATAGCAAGATGTCTTTTTGCTGGAAATTTGTCAAAAGCTTTTCTGGTATCTGCTGTGGGAAAAGTCTTCCTTGAGGTTATATGACCTAAGTCCTATTCATAAAGCTTCAGCTGTGAAAGACTGAAAAGACTGTTCCATCACCTGAAATCTTGAAAGATTTCTCGTGGCTTCCAAAATCTTTGTGTGCCTCTCCTATTCCAGGAAGGGATAAGGGGAGACAAGATCAATATTGCCCAAACATACAGTACCAGAGATGTCAGTGTCCCTCCCTGGAAACCAGGGGCCAAGACTTGTTTCTCATACAAGAAGCCAGCTTGTAACGCTGATCTCTGCAACACTCAGCAGTGAGGACTGAACCTCAGCCCAGTGGATCTAACACAAACCAGTCTACCATTCTGAGGAGGAGGGATTCAAAGGGTCAGTCAGATATTGCTTCCTAAACTGCTCCTACATTACACTTATAACAGTGTTAGGCAGGCTGGGTTCTCTGCGTAAATGTCTTGGGCAATGAGATTTTAATAGCTTGTTTAGAAGAAAAGATGTCTTGCTACTAAAAAAGTTTCTTAGGAACTGACCTACTTTAACTTTTTTCTTAACTTTAAATCCTCAAATTCAAGACTAGGAACACAGCAAGATATGTATTTTGGTTGAAGATCTTATCACTAGAACGAAAAGCCAGATCAGTTCAGGCTTTTCTCTTAAACTATTATTTGGAATCATCATTTGCTTTCTTCACCCTTAGCAATCACTTGTCTTTCTGTGATGTTTAATATTGCTCAATTTCTTCTTTCACTTATAGAGCATCTTCATCATGCAGACACTCAAATCTAAGATTAAAAAAAAAAATTTCCTAAGAAATACTATGACAAATAAAGACCATCTGGTAGGCATAAACATAAATGAGATGCAAACCAAAAATCTCAATAAACACTGAATCACCATCAATCTAGTATACATGCAAACTCTCAAACCAATAGAATTATTTTGCAGTGAGTAATGTCTTGCCAGTGGTGTACTATGCACACTGTGATTAATTTTCACAGTCTAATGAGTTCCCCCCACCAGAAAAAGCCAGTCCAAATTTATTTTGCAGTAGCAGTCTTAAATTTCATTCATTCATTTACTCTAAAGTACATTTGTTGTGATTTTTATCTATGGCACTGTACTGGGAAACGTGTTTCATATGCATACACAAATTCTCATTATTTTAGCTTCAGAATCTGTGAAGTCCCTTGCTTTGTTACAGAGGGGGAAAATGTATAGGCAGCGACAAGGTTAAGGTCAGTCCACTACTTCTGATCCAGCAAAGAAGGAGTAACACATCAATTACTCACAAAGATTTGACTGAAGGTTCTTTTTGTCACAGACATAAAATGCTGCTGAACAACCCACACCTTATAATTAAACACCGAGGGCTGGTCTGTGCTCTGCACTTTGCTGGGGCACATGGGTTGAAATCCTGCCTGCTGAGTCAATGAGTTGTTGAATCAACGTCAGCAAAGCCAAGGTTTCTCCCAAGGCCCACACCTCGCTGTCACACCCCCTTGCCCCAGAACAGGGCATGAGCTACTGAAGGGATGGCCTGGGCTTCTTGCAAATCTGCTTACACCTAGCTGAAGGGAAAGACATAATATCCTATTACCTCCTGTGTACTCTCTTCTCAGGAGGAAGATACAGAATCTAGCAGCTAATCTGCCAAAGAAAGGGTTTATTCTCACCTCAAGGAATCTTGCTTTTTTCCATTCCTGATAATAATCTCAAATAAATAATTAGTTATCCGCTATTCTTTCATTTTCTTGTAATGCTAATGACCACAAAGTAAAATTTCAAAATCAGAAGTTTAAACCAAAGAAAGCCCACAGAACTCCCCTTACAAGTATATACAGAACAAACAGAGGAATGGATATAATTTCAGGAGTACTTCAAATTACAGGTAATTTTAAGTTATTTATTAATATTTAATGAATGAGTGAGATATGCTGTTACATTATTTAGTAGCAGAGTGCTCTTTTGAAGGGCTTTAGATTCTGTAGATATTTTTACACGGTACCTCTACTTTTCTTTCTCTCTTTTTTTTTTTTTTTTTTTAAGGACTAAATACTTAGGAAATGTCCATGAAGTAGAAACAGAGCATCTATGATCTACCTTACTTTTTTGATCGGGTTCAGCAACTTTGGATCTCCTGATTCCTAACCAGGTACCAATGCAGAATCTAGGCCCACAGTAGAAGCTGAGACTGTCCTTCCACTGAGCCAGATGAAACGGGAGGTGTCACAACCTTTTCTAAGCTCTCAGCCTCAGAAGCCCCAATAAACTTGCACCATCTTACGAATGGCTCTGCTCTCGCCACACGTCAGTCCCTGGGGCGGTGTGCTGTATAGCACTGATGTGGCATCTGCTGTGACATCCCACTGGTGGATGCCCCTAACTTTTACCGTGGTTTTGACACATTTTAGAAATGTGGTGAGCTGTAAGTATAGAATAAATTAATAGTTTCTTAGTGGTTACCCTAGAGTTCATAATCACCTTATTCTCCGACGCCATCCCTATCACAGCTGAGGTCTAAGGCTACATGGTCCCCACAGGTACAACTATTGTCATAGAAATGTCAGAGATGGCTCTAGAAGCGAATTTGTCCCACGAGCAGGAGAGAGTTACCAGAAAGCCAGGCTTTGGGGGATCTCTTTCCCACACGGTCTGCACTATGCTAAAAAGAGCATTAAGATTGTTGTGTGCTCAGTATTACAAATATCTTCTGTAGCACAGTACTCCCCAGTATGTTACCTCATTCTTTCCCCAACATTTTTCCCCAAGTAATTGCATTAACATGGAGGCTCTGCTCCATGTACTGTCATCCCTCCCCATCATTCTTCTTATTCTCTACAGGTAGTATTTGTTTTTATTTCCCCAAGTGAGGCAAGATTTTACCAAATCTGCCTCCTTGCTCTCTTTATTTTACACCATGCCAGTTCTTCTACCCTAATTTTAAACACTTTTTGGGTCTCATTCTGGTGGAAGGACTGGTGGATACCAGTGACCCTTCACCGTTCTGAGCAATGTATTTTTCCCCTCATCGTTGCCTGCATAATTTGCACACCACCTGCTACTCATGCACACACTCCTTAGTCTCTGATTAGAGCTGGTTGGGTCATTCTCACAAATCATGCATTACAGGAATTCTCATCCTTTAGTATGAAAATAAATTATTCATGTTCTTTACAAAATGAGCAGTTTTATTGCTGATGATTAAATAATATGCCTAAAATACATTGTTTGCAATATTTTTTGCACATCAATCATTTAATGAATTATTCAGAAATATTTGTATTACGCTTTCTCTGGTACTGGTTATTTGGAGTCAGGGAGATAGACAAATATCCTCTTAACATATTCTTCCTCAACAGAGGCTTAGCCTCAGAGATGGGAGAGGTGCTGTGGGTTGCTCGCTGTGGGTGTTGTGAGAAATACCTAAAAGTTGGGGTTGTTTTTAAAAAAAAAGATGTAGATAAAAGAAAAATACTAAGATTAGATGCTTGTGATTCTAACTACAGTGTGAGTTCTTTCTTTCCCCTTCCTTTCCGAGAGGGAAGGTGCTGCAGTTCGGTAATGAATTTGCTGTACACTGAATCCAGACTGAATCTCCAGGAGAGGGAGACAATGAATTGGCCAGTAGGAAGGATTGAACGCTGATGTCAATTAAACCGAAACCATGAAATAAATGAGGGGTTTCAGTGGTTGTTCTTCACAGCCACTTCAGTTTGGTATGCAAGGGAATGCTTCCGTTTTATTGCAATAGTAAATTCTGGAGCACAGAGAGAGAGAATATTGGCATTTCAATCAGGGCAGCTTCACACACATGCAGGCAGCCCACTCAACTCTCTGTTGAAAGCTTTATGAAAGAAAGCCTGTAGGATATCCAAGAGATTACTTACAAGATTCTAAGGGATGGATTTTTACGAAATCCTTAGAACAGCCTGGTGCCCTTGTTGAAGTGAATTTGAAATATGTCCCTGAGCTCCTCAGAGTCTGCAGACAATGCTCATAGGTATCAGGGTATACATGCATATTTACATTTATTACAGCAAACAGACATATGCTTGTTTCAGATACAAAGATAAGGTGTTAATCTTTGAGATTTCAAAAAATCAATGGTATTTGTAGGGGCTACTATTAATTTTCATTACCTCATCAGTCATTTGGGAAGGTTTGTCTTTGTTGCTTTAGCTTCTGAAAAGAGAAAACTGCCATTGCACCAGAATAGGGGGGTAGGAGTGACAGAAAAAACAAGGTTTTATATTTTCAAGTAATCACAGACTACACCATCTTATGCCTTCACTTATTCTGAGAATTTTCTTGAGAAGCTAATATTGCATGAGGGTAAAATGCAGCCCTCAGCACATTAGTAAAACATTTATATACTAATTCCTTGCTAGAAAAAAAAAGGACTTATTCCACATGTGCTAAGAGAAATCTCAGAGGACCTGCAGATTTTCTTTGGTCAAATTATTAAATCACAGACTCTTTAATAAACTGGAAATGCCTTTTCCAAACACTGTGATAAAGGGTTCTCCTCAATAGAATATGATAGTTCACAAAAAGAAAAAAAAATAATTAGTTCCATTATTCAGAAAAATACTCTAAAATGTGATTTATTTTTTTTTTTTTAATGAAGTTCTGGGAACAGAACTGACAGTTAATTTCAGTTTATACCACGTTTATAAATAACAGGAATAGACCTTGATACTAATATTCCACAGACAGGTGATATTCTGAAACCTTACAATATACAATATGGTCAGTTTGCAATTGCTACATGATCCAAATTATAACACATTTCCATTTTGAGCTGTATTTTTCACCTCAGTTGAACTACCCAAACAAAGCTATTGCAGTGAGATAGGTTTCCCAGAGGAACTGATATTTGTATGGGACTTAGAAAGTGAAACGTCTGGAATCTGGGTTTAGGAAGAAATAAAATGAAGCAGCCCATTTCTATAGAGAGCTTTTTGCCGTCTCTGTGCACCAATTTCCTCAAATCAGCTTCCCTTACATTTCATCTCCTGTAACTTAGAGTGCCTGTCACACTGCCAGGGAATTTGATTCCCAGCCTTCAGGTGGTGCTGAATTCATTCTGATTTTGCTGTGTAATTGCTGCCTTGCTTGTAAAGGTGTTTAGTCACAATTAGTCAGCTGATACATTAAGTCAGTGTCAAAATACAACATATAGTTTTGCAGAAGGTGTGACCTCATCTATTTCACAAAATGGAAGGACAGTTCATAGCTCTTTTTTTCTAGTTCTTTGAAGAACGTTGAAGCCCTTTATTGCTATTTAAAGTATGAGCCAAGCCTACCTGACATATCTCACTGAGCCGCTCTACTCACTGCAGCTTTTGGATGAGCAAAAAAAGGCGACTTTGGACTCTGAATGTATCGTATGATTACTCTAAAATCAGGGCCCGAGCTCAGGCCCTGAGCTTATAGCATGACCACTGCTGTTTCAGTTTTCTTAAAGAGCTATCAAGTCTTCTGCTGCTGAAAATTTGATGAGAAAGTTCACCTTCTCTGTGATCCTGCACGCAGAGAACTGTGTTACCCTAAGTGCAAACCCGCAGAAATCAATAGCTACCTGAACAGCAATGTGCTTCTCAGCGTAAGTCAAGGTGACAGATACTGACCACAACAGCACAATGAAAAAAAGTACCTAATGTTGCTTGTTTAGATGGTGGTTTATTGTTTGGGCAGATGAACTGCATTTATTCCTGAGCAAAATACAAGAGCGAAAGTACAGGCAGGTAACTTTGTGTAAATGTACATAGTTAAGTCCTGTGAAATAAATGTGGAGTAACTATGAGTAACCGTGCTCAGTCCTTTCCAGACTAGTGAGTAATATTCAAGACATGCCACATGCAATGCTTCATCACGTTTAAATGTCAAATTCCCTGTTCTGTTAGCTGCATGGCACCTGCTGTTGCTATTGAAGATAGCACCTTCCACTGACACCGATGACAATTGTGAAAGATGAGTATATCTGTATCGCAGGTCTGAGAAAGTAACCCGGGAAAGTGGCAAGATCGCATTCAGGGGAAGGCAAGAGAATAAATTCCGGAGCATTTAGCTACATGCTATCACCTCCAGGTGGCTGAGCATAACTCAGAGCTGTAAGCAGAGTGGTACTTGCTCTTGCAGCGTTGGTTAAGAGGATATGACTAAGAGTGGGAGAAAGAGGGGCTAGGAGCAGGGAACATCACTGCCCAACTGCCCTGCCAGGGGCAGCGCAGTAACACTAACACCCCACCTGGCTGCAGAAACAGTCATAAGGTAAAAACGGGCAAAATAGGCATAAATATTTTGCCATGCCCAGCAATACGCTGTCCTGGGCAATCGCTCTGTCTCACCTAGCAGGGCCCTCCCCAGGGCCCTTCAGTAGCAGTTTAGAGGAGATGGTGGCTCTGCAGGGCGCTGTACCTCCCCGTGGGAGGGAGCCAGTCCCACTGTGTAACTGGGTCCCCAGAGGCCCAGCCGTGCCAGCTCACTTTCTTCCACAGCTGAGGATATGAATTGCCCAGCAGCCTTTGTGCTAGCACAGCCAAACAACCAATTATACACTGCAGATGTGGCATACATGCTGTACTGGAATTGTTCACAATCCACATGCAATTCAAAAGCCACCATTTAACCACCCTTGTCATAACCTCAACCTTTCAGAAACTGTGCATTGTCACTGAAACAATTGTTTTCTCATGGTTTCAGGTGCCAAAGAAATCAGTGCACTCCACAAGTTTTATGCCTTCTAGCAGTTCTATTCACTTCAGACAATTGGATCAGCATTGTACAGCTGCTATGCCTGCAGTTTTTCATCATTTGCCTGAGTTTATACAAGGGATAAAACAGAGAGGGCAATTCGTCTCCTAGCCAAAGGAAAAGAGCTGCCATTTCTCTCCCATTGAAGCAACACAAGTGTGGTAAAAAGTCTGTGTGATTTGAATAGAGATGCAATTCACTGGGGAAGATCTTAAGTAGAATATAGCATTTTCCTTGGACCAATTACATTTACAGTAATTATTTGTATATTATGATCAATTATCGTACAAGCAAAAAAGGCAGCTCTGCATCAAAAAATGTAACCAGTAAGGTAGAAATATCTCATTGAAGGATATCTGAGTCACAGAGCTTTGGGGTCCTGATTTATTGATGACATAAAACCAGACTCATCGCTGATATTACAATTTCAGGAGACACATGATTCAGCTACACAACTAAAATGCAGAATTTATTAAATTTTCTTGTGCTTATTGGCATAACCTTTTTCTGTTCACATGGAATCTCACACTGTAAAAAGCTTACTGTCAACAGACTGAAGACAATTAGGAATATTCTTTCCTAGTTTCTCTGTTGTATATTTTAAAAAGGATCGTGTAGTCCTATATTACACGCTGTTCTGTCAGCATTAAACTTGAGCTGGAATGTGTATATAGCTCATTTTGTTCTCAGCCACATCGTCTTTTTTTGCATTGTTAGAATTGTTATTGAAGTTCCAGAATGAAAACACGGACTACATCCGGGGACAACACATTTCACTCATTTGAGAGGCAAGCTAAGGAAAATGACAGATGGAGGGGAACCACGTTGGTGTTAATAAACTGTACCTGCTGCTCTGTTTAGTAAGCAACAGTTCAGAGTACAGTTTTTCAGACTGCAAGCCTGGCTTCCCTGGGGATGTTCAAAGCAAGCCTGCGGAAAGCAAGAGGTAAAAAAAATATTCCTTTGCTTAACCACTTCCACTTATAATTCAGTACAAGCCAAACTTCTGGCAGTCCGTGGAATATTCAGGGAAGGTTTCTTTTTTTTTGCCAGGATCTGAAATGGTAATGATTCTGCAGGTAGGAAAACTGCCCTGTTTTAACATTTAACTACCAAAGCTCTGTGCTTTGGTAATACAGGGGAAGGAAGAGGCAGAAAACTATCTTCTCCCTTGAAAACACTTGTGTGAGAAGTAATGGTAAAATGGTTATTAAGACTCCTGTGGTGCTTTGAAGTGAATGTTAGACATTTACCCTTGATATATTCATAAATATCTAACACTTTCCCATATTCTTCCATTTTCTTCTGACATTAAATGAGACATTTTGACCCAAAGTGTTGTGTAATATTATCCTATGTTATTAAAGACAAGAGAAGTGATTTCACAAAAACAGGGAAGTGATTCCTATGTATTACTTACCTTCATCACAAGAGGGTGATAGGGCTTTACTAGTAAATTGACTTAATATCCTGAATAAGAGATGTTATAGGAAAACACATAAATGCATTTTTATTACCGTGTCCTGGTAATAATCATTGATCCTAGAGGTTTGTTTTAACCCTCTTGCTTAACTTAGGGTCATTATAGTCTCCTGTGCTGTGAGCTGCAATATTTAAAACCTCATTAAGCCTATGACCTTGCAGTTAACCTGGTAGCTCACTGCTTCCTTCTCTGTGGTAGGTCTGGAAGCAAAGGATTTAAACACTGCAGGTCACTGTATTATTATTGCAGCATTCAGCCAGCAGTACACAACCCCACCATGCCTCACGTGAAGGAAAAATGCACAGAGCCAGAATCAGGACAGAGGTGTAGGCTGCATGTCAGCATGAGCATGGCTGTCTTGTTGCTGTTGTAGGCAGTCCTATCGATGCCCTGTTACTTGCCATATTCTAGGAAAACAGCTGAGAATCTGACCAGGCAGTAGAGCCACGTACCTGGAAAAGACTACAGACCTAACCATAAGCAGAATATGCATTTTGAGAGGGACTTATGGTTTACAGCTCTTCAGAAACTATGTGCAATGTCTGGTGACAATGCATATACCATCTTTATTAAATATTAATGGTTTTCATTCTTCTCACATTTCAATAGTTTACTCTTTGCCATTATGTTTTAGTCTTATTTACTACAGAGAATGAGTGAAGAGTGATTTAGGTGTTCTTGAAATTAACACAAATACCTTTTAAGAGCTGTGATTTCTTGAAAGGAGTCTATTACTCCCAAAATTAGAGGCAATGAAATATGGTTCTCAGTCTGTAACAATAAGCATTGTACGATTGGCGAATAACTTATGGAGTAAATAGTACTCTCTGCTGGGCCCTTCACAGGCCTTAGCTCAACTCTGCCAGAGACAGAAGTACACAGAAATAGAAATTGCCCTAGTGAGACTGTGATCATCCTGCCCCACAGGGTAGCCCATACACAGCACAAGTCTTGGCTTTGGTAACCAACCACCTTTCAAAAAAACCTGGCATCTTGAGGCGTCCTTGTGCATTATTACAAAATACACTGACTGTTCCTGTCAGTTGGGTTTGAGGCACTGATGACTGAAAGACAAGAGTGTGTAATAAGGATCTGGATGGAAGCAATGTTTTATGTGAAGCATTATGTACAGTAATAAAGGTGTAAAGGAGCAGCCCATGCCACTATGTTCATATATTTTACTTTTGGCAGTCACTCATGGCTGGTTGCTTAATGGCAGACCTTACCGCTAAGATGAAGCTGACAGAAATCCTTTGTAATGATCTCCTGCAAACCCTTGGTAGTTTTAAGCCCTGCATGACTATGAACTGGCCTCTCTGGAACCTCTCCCCAGTACTCCAGGTGTGCAAGGAGTAACTGCTGAGCCAAGCATGTTCATGGCTTAGACGTATCTTTGATATAACAGATACCATAAGCCTAAAATTAGCCAGTTTTTAATCTTAGATGTGGCAGTGACAAAATTTACAAGGGGTCACAAATCAGCTACTTATGTGTTTTTCACATTTTCGGGTAACTTTTCTTTATTCTGCAAAAATGCCAGTTCTGTTTCGTAGCCTGTGAAATATTGTCCTTGTGTTTTGATCCTTTGGTATGTGTCATTACAAAGTGTCACCATAATACGCAGACACTGCTTTATTTAGAATACACATAGGTGTGGAAAACATCCACACCCTGAGGCACTACACCTCACCCTCAAGCCCTGACAGCAGCCCTGTCGAGGCTATACAATCAGCCTGTCTTCAACTTGCAACTGCATTTCATAACCTAACAGTGCTGCTCTACCTATACAATACGATTCAACAAATTATCCACCCACAACTACTAAGAGAAAGAGAGGTGGGAATATGAGCTTTCTTCATTGTTTCTCATGGTTATAAGCACTTATCTTAAACAAACATCTATGTGGAATAATCAACTTTGGTAAATGTAAGACATTTAAACTGAGATAGTGTGAATTTGGGAAAATCACAGTGACACTGAGCCATGGCCTGTGTATCTTTTCCAGAAGAGCAAGAGGCTGAGAGGACAGACTGCAAGATGATAAGCAAAGGGTTAACCCGGGTTTAGTAGTGCTATTATGACCAGTCATGAGGGGTCATGAGTTTCTGTTGCTAGAAGGCTTTTCTGTAACTGTGCATTTCTGCATATATAATCATCATTGTTGCATGTTAAAAAAAAAAAAAAAAAAAAAATGGCAGAGCTAGCTAAATAAATCTCTACCAGACAGGAGGTAGAAGTGATAGACCTGGGATAGGAAATCAGCAGCCATGTGTACAGTAACTGCTGAGGAACAGATATGCACAGTTCTGGCCATCCAGCGGCACCAGTGTAATTTCATGCTGTTAGACACCAATTTCTAGACAGATTTGGCTTACCTGGCCACTCATACCTCAGCACACAACCAGCAGCGAGAGCATGAGAAGGGCCACGAGCAGGAGGACAGGATGTTTCCGCAAAACAAAAGGGATGAGGGGAATGAGCGTGCTGTGGCTGAGTCGCAGCACTTGATGGTTCAACCTCAGTACCTGCAGCGGGAGGACAGGCTCTGCTGTCGTCCGTGGCCATGTCCCCAGCCCTGCTGTAGTGGATCTCGACAGCCGTCCGTGGGACAAGGAGGTGGCATAGCTGGCGGCCGCTGGCAGGTTAAGTGCGGTACCATGGCCAGGCCGGTAAATGGGGAATCTGCCTCTCCAGGCGAGGAACGTGCTCCCTCTTAGGGACCCGCAGCAGCACTCGGCACACGAGCGCATTTACTGCAATGGGAGTTGGCAATTCGGAGAAACATACAGCTTGGATTCTTTGTTTATGAGAAATAACCAACTTTAAATTTATGGTCCTAAGGCAAATGCTGCATGCAGCAAGGAAAACCCTTTATTCTGTTGTATTTGTGTCAAAAGGGTATTACTGTTTTCTGTAGTAGAAAGGAGCAATGAAACACTTGACTCCTGCTGGCACCCTTCGTATTAAAAAGAATGTTATTGTAATGCCTAAATCTTGTAGAGGACAGCTTAAGAGCACACCTGCCAAACAAGGACCTTGAGGATTCAGAAAACAACATGGCAGATTTTTTTTGTTGTTTTTTTAAATTCCACAATTTATGACTGAAAAGAGGTCGAGACCTCCGTGCCGCGGGGAACACGCTGTCCTCGGGCTTGGCCTGAGGGCACTGTGGAAGCCCCTGATTCCGCAGAGCCGAGAGAGAGGCGTCCACAGCAACAGCTCCTTCCCGCCTCCACCCTCGGCGAGCGGGAGGGCCCGGCCGCCCCGTCCCGCCTCCTTGAGGAGAACGCGAGGCTGCGCCCGCACTCAAGATGGCCGCCCGCCTATAGTCTCTCACATGGCCCTTGAAGCCGCAGGGCGGCTGGTTAAGATGGCGGCTGTTTATCTGTGGCCGCGGCCGAGCGTGCCCTCGGCCAACATGGCTGACGCGCCCCTAGTGCTTCCGACGGTAAGTGAAGCCAGCTTGCCCTCAGTCAAGATGGCGGCGCTCAGCGAGTGGTAACGTGGTGAGGGGGGACGGAGCGAGCGGCCGGGAGCGGCGAGGCGAGGCGGGGGGAGGCGAGGTTGCCCCTGCCACCGGCTGAGGGAAAGGCTCCCCGCAGTGCGGCCGCCGGGCCGAGCGGCCGGCCGTGAAATGGCGGGTCGGGGCCTGTAGGCTCGGGCAAGGTTTGGGCAGGGTGCGGGGGGTGCTGGGGTACTCCTCTGGCCCGCCGCAGCGAGGGAGCCCGCGGATTGCGAGGTCGTGTCCCGGGAAAAGCTGCGTGTCCGAGCGCGGGGGGGCTCCCACGGCCCTCGGGTCCCTTAGAGCCGTGGATGCTGCTGCAAGGAACAGCGTTTGTGGGGTGTAAGAACTTCCACCGATGCCATGAATTAGCTGTGAGCGGCCTCTTAAGGTTTTCCTCAGTTGAAAAGATGAAACAATCCGATTATGTCCTCTTCCTTCTGTAGAAGAACTAGCTAATTCTTTATTAAAACTATAAAAGAGTGTTTCTACTCGAGATTTATAAGGTGGTTAAGTATTTGACATAACTGGAAAACTGCAAATCAAAGGTCAAAGTCCTTGCCAGGTCTTAATGCAGGCAATTACCTATGTGTGTAACTTAATGCACCGCATGGAGGCTATATGGGGCTATTCGTCACCTGGTATAAGAATCAAGTCATAAAGTTGTTTCTGTCAGCTGTTCGTGTACTAGCAACAGTTGGAAGTGCTAAGTTAATGTGCACGTGCATGTCACTGCCATAAGAAGGGAAGAAACTACTGTCTTTAATTGTCCTTACAAATCTCAGAAGTTGCTTTATCAGTGATGATCTGACTGCCTTTTCTTGACAGATGCACGCCAATGGTAAACTGCACCGGGTTTCTGTGTGGAAACAAATGTACAGGTTGAATAATCAGCTCTCTACACGACTTCTCTTCAGAGCTCACATTTTTTTGCCAATACTTCTAATCTGACACTTAGCCAGAGGGACTTTTGAGAGTTTCACAGTATTATTTTTACCACAGTAAACAGAGCTTGTAGTCATCGGTGCAGTTATGTCCTGGGTACAAGTTGCAGTCAGCCGCTCCAGTGAGGATATATTTGATGAAGACGCAGATGAGATGTATCTACTACAGAAAGAATGGAACAGCACCATGAAAAGAAGATTGAAGGTATTTCTATAACGATGATTTAATAGTCTTTTTAACCATTGTAGATTTACTGATACATACCTTGATATACATTTGGCTGATTTAAAGAGGAAACACTAGGAGTGACTGCTTAAAAGTTATTGTGGCTTAGTGTCTTCTGGATGTCAGGAAAACTAGCAGGGGCTTACAAAAGCTCTGTCTTAGTAGTCATCAGAGAAAATGCTGTTTTACCAAAAGACGTTGGCTCCCTCTGTATACCATGTGCATTTGTAAAAGGCAGTGCTAAATTCTGATGTGAGCTCTGTGCTTCATGCTTATAGGTATACCACAACTAAATGTATGGCAGCACAGCTAAATAGTGCTACTAAAGAAATATGAGGTTTTTAAGTAGAGTTCTTCATCAAATGGATTTAAGATGTGTGACTCCATATGGAACCACAATTAGATGTTGCGGTCTGGGTAGTTCTTTGGCTTATTTATTCTTCTAGTGAAAAATACATTTTAGGAAAGCTGGTTTCCGCAGCCCTTGCTTCCCTGGAATTCTACAGGGAACAAAAGAAGTACATAAAAACCCAGGTTGCTTCAACAGATACATTATCATTCAGAGTGGGGCCAGTAGAGCTCGTCTGCTCACAGGAGAACAGCATTAGGCTGAAGAACGTGAATAGAAGCTGTTGTGTAGGCTGCTCATGAGGAAGGGTACTACAACGGAGCTGTTGTATTATTCTCCAAGGAGAAGTTTCCTGCCTCTGACTCCCTTGAAAAGACTGGTTTTCTTAAGGGTCTGTTTAGTGTTCTTACACAAATTCCTCTGGTATTTTATGAGTAGATAGAGCAAAATCATAAAATGTCCTTGAGGTTGGAGCTGTACGTTGGGCAAAATAAAGAAACATTTCTGTTTTCGGCTCTTTCTCTAGCAGGGCCACCAGGTTTTTCTGTTACGAGCAAACAAAAGTTTTCATTCTTGGAACTTGCAATTATTCTATGTTATATGGTAACGTTATTAGAATATAAATAAATTAATTTGCATTACAATCATTAGCTGTTTCTTACGGAAAGCAATCACAATGTTATGTGTATTTATATGTGACTCCATCACCAGCTTTTTCTCTGGTATTACTCTTTAATTGAGTGAGATCTGACAAATAGAGAAGCAAGGCTCAATAATTAGTTTTGTGAAAACAGGTGGATGGATTACAGACAGGAGAATACCTCTGCTGAAGGGGAGGCTTTGCAGCCCGTGTATTTTTAGATGTCTAGAAATGTGTATGTGGTACTCTAAGGAATTTTTCATAAAGGAGTTGGTCGTTGTAAATGTAAGCATGCTTTCCTGCAGATCTATCTTATTTTTTGATGTTTCTAAAAATACTTTATTTTCTGACCTTCTGGGGATCCTTTTGGAAAAGAACTGAATCCTACAGATCAGTAAATCATAATGCACTGCAAAAAGCAAGTTTTCTTATGTCAGTGGGGGTGTATCTGGGAGGGACATTCAAATATAGAAGCTTTAATTTAAGAGATTGAATACTTATTTAAACTTTATTATTATGAAATTGTCACAGGTCCCATTTTTCATCTTGTGAACAACCTGTTTTGCTACTCTTATTATAGGAAGGCTATAGGGATGGAATTGAGGCTGGGAAAGAACTTGCGCTCCAGGAAGGCTTTAATCAAGGTTACAGACGTGGTGCTGAGCTGATGGTTACATGTGGCCAGTTCAGAGGAACCCTGAAGTAGGTTACAAACTCCTTAGGCTTGTGTGCTTGTGGAGGGTGTGTATGGAAGGAGCATGCATGCAAGTTTTTTTGTTTTAATTTTAAAAATTTTAAAAAGTAAATCTGTCCAAAGTGAGCAACCTGAGAATTCTGAGGTCTTGAATACAGGGAATTGGCTACCTGGATGGAGAGCCATCATTCTTCAAAATCTCCCTTTGGTTCCTCTTCCAAAATTATCTGATTCTACATCTTTAAGCTTAATATTCAGTTCTACTGCTTGAATTTCTCAGAAAATGTGAATGAAATATATATACATTTATATAGTATAGAAATTTTGTCACATTGCTGTCTACCTTCAGCAACTGGAGGTCTGTGTGGGTACATGTAATCACTTATTTTTTGTTGTTCTTCACTTTTCAGCGCGCTCTTATCCTGGTGTCATTTTAATGGACATGATTCAGCTTTAAGTAAGATAAATAATCTTCTTGATGTGGTTGGAAAGCATGAAGATGATGTGCTTAAGTTTCTGAATTCTATTGACCAACAGCCACATCTTGGACACATTTTAGATTCTGTTCAGGACATGGACCTTAATCACACAGGTCCAGCTGGGACGGAGTACAATGAAGTTGAAACTGGAAAACACAAAGACGTTGGCAGCTCTGGTGAAAACATTTGTACAAATAATGGTGAGGTTGACTCCTTGCAGTCTGAGTGCATCAAGGCAAAACTCTGCACAGATCCTGAAAGGTCAACCCTTGCTTGGGTTAAAAAGCAGACAATCTGGCTAGTAGAGCAACTGGGCTTATCACTGGATATACTCCATCACGTCCAGAAACTGGAACATTAGTTTTTCTGTCTCACTGTATTTAAAATCATCTCAACTGGATTTGATTTTCAGTTTGTGGACCATGTACAGGCTGATGCATCACTTAATTTTAAGGAAATCTGATTTTGATATTTCCCAGTAGAGGTAATTTCTGTAAATCCTCACTGTGCTTTGGCTCCTAGCAAAAAACCCTTGCTTTCAATCTTAAACATTACTTTCACAGAAAAGGGAAATTGCTTTTAAAGCTCTACAAAGATTTACTAAATGTGTTTCTGTTCTGTGTCATAAGCTTTCATTTTGCCCTCACTTTCTTGTTTGGCAGCAGTTTGGAAACGGAGCAAGTCCCTTAAAGAGGTTCCCTCTAATATCTAAAAAATAAATGTCCAGTGCTATGGACAAGCAATTCTTGCAGAATAAGCTGCTGTTCATGATACGCAGTCTCATCGCAAAGTAGAACAGGATTTGCTGCTGATTTTTAGAGTGCTGTGACTCTCTCTAGTCACTATATAAATACAGGAATTTTTTACCTTTTGTCAAATTCTTCCTCTTATCTTTTGTAACCTCTATGCAGTGCACTTTCACAGTTCAAAACTGTTTTTGTCCTCTTCATACAGTTTCAGCTGAAAACACGCCATTCCGTTCAAATGCAAAATTACTGAAAATTCTGTTGTTTTACTGTTAGGCCATCTCTTCTTACCCTGTTAGACCACACTGAACACGTTCCCAGTCTAATGAACTTCCTTGTGTTATTTTTGTATTTATTTTGCCAGTCCCTCTAGCCTGAACTCTTTCCCTCATTCCCACAGTGTTTTTCCCAAACTCTTCAAGGAAGCCAGGCTTATTCACCTTCTCTTAGAAACAAGTTGTCAGCCATACATGCATGTTTCTGTGCCAATGTTCTATATTTGACTCCTTTTCCTGTTGCTTGCTTTAACTGTAGCTGCAAATTACTCTGGTCAGGAAGTCTTTTCTTTGTGAATGGATATTTGTGTTTTACACTAATTAAACTGTTTTACAATAAGTTAGGCATTTACTTTTTTTCAAGCTGCTTATAACTTTCCTACATCTAGACAAAGCAGGTCTAGACAGAGACAAACAAATTTTGAACAGCCAAATTAACTATAGTTTTAAATACATAAATAAATAAATAAATCACAAAACAGTTTTACACTTTGAGCCCAGGAAAAAAGCTATGGTAAAAGTTACTTGATTTTCAGAGACTGAGTTTACAACTTTCTTACTAAAGACTATTATCCTGACACAGAGTTGGTAGACTGTAAGTTTGTCTGCCACTCAGTACCACCTCTGCATCAGAGAAAAGCACAACTGCAATTAAGAGCCTCTTTACTGAACCTGCTTCTGAACTAGTAGATAAATAGGGCTGCCTGCATTAGTTACCTATGTACAAAATTGTTCAAACATTTTTTTTTTCTTAGTTTATTTAGTATAATGCTGACATGGATAAACATTACTTTTCTACAAGTGCATCTGTTATGTTATAGGCTGTATGTTAGACAGAAATTTCTTCCATACTCTGGTAGAATTTGGTGCAGACATAAATAAAGGTTACTAGAGCAGTGTTAGACTTTCCAACTTTGGAAGTTTAAAAATGCAAATTCAAGAGTATTCTATGTATTTAATAGTGTGCAAAGAGGAAACTCCATTGACAAATTACTAAGTAGACAGTGAGCTTGCCAAGTTCTCTCCAACTACTGCAAAAGCAATCTACGCCAGGGAAAATACTTCTTTCTTGTTTGATTATCAAACAATAGATGGTGTGTTTTACTTATCTATCATAACAGCTTCTGTACTAGCTGTGGAATTACATTCCTCCACTCTGCACAGAGTTTCTGTGCTTACTGTGGACTTACTTTTTCCATGTTATCACCCAGAGTTTCCAGTTTGACTGTGGAGAGATTCTCTGTTGGGCTGTCTGTAATACTTGACTTATCAGTCACTACCCAATCTTGCTGACCAGCCACAGGAGGACTTTCTTCAAGACTATGAGAATCCATAATTTGTTCACATGGTGCTTCAGGTTTTTGTTTTGCGCCCACTTCCATGTCTTGTGTTTCACCATCAGCTTTCACCTTGGCAGCGTTCCTGAAAATAGCTCTCATGACAACTGGAACTGACATGCAGCTGAAGGAGGAAATGAAACTTTAGTCACCACTGCAGACTTCATCCATTCTTCAACATACTTATTTTTTTAAAACTGTGGCTGACACCGGAATGATACCTGTGATGAAAACCAGCACTACTTCCTTGTGTCTTTTTGCCTTGTACAACCTAGTAGGCATTACGTTGTAACTACAGTATGACTACATGTGCTGAACTGGAAACATATGTTGACACTATGAAGTCAAGAGCTGGATCCTGGAGCTTGGTGTGCAAAGAAGCTTTGATAGAGTGGGAGGGTTTGATTTAAAAAGGGTGCTTTTAATGAAAACGTAAACTAATAATACTGAAATATATTAATTCTTGCTGAATTTTATACAAAACATGAAAGTTACAATTATAAGACAGATACAGAGCATGTCTTCTCTAAAAAAATATCTAGAGGAGTTTTTTTCCGTTCTAACAATAGTTATCTGGTTCAAGAATAGTATCTACTATCCTGTGACTTAAGACAGTGCAGGCTAATTAAACAGGATCAAAATCCAGCCTGCATCGATCTTGCTGTCATCAAATAGATAATAGCTATATACTAGCTTATGCCAAATGAATTAGTGCTGTCAGTCCTTTCTCTAGCATATGTTCACATATCACAGCAACTTGCCTCTCTTGGAATTTGTTTCAGAAAAGAAGCCAGAGACAGTGTTGTAGATGTGCCATATACACCTCACTTTCTGCAGAGAAGCACTGATTGGTATTAGGTAGATGTGGAAAAAGTCCTTTCCATGCTGTTCTATGTTATACCAGTCATGAGACTGCCATCAGCTAGAGTCTTCAGAAAACCATGTTTGCAAAAGAAAAAAGCATCTTTATTAACGGTAAAACTCTCTTAATTCAGAAGTGTTTCCTTGCCCTGCATGCTTTCTACTAGAAAGAAACACTTTCCATCACTATTGTTTAAAATTTTCGAGAGATACTTAAGATACTAAAGTAACTTGTTCTCACTATTATAACTTTTTACTAGAGTGAAGTTCTGGTTGCTGAGTTTATGGCATTGTGAGTGCATATAGTATTTACATTAAATGGACATCTGAGGTTCATTCCAACTGTTATGAAATAAAGTAGAACTACTTACCGCTTCACAGCTCTTGCTATGAAGTCATCACTAGAATTTAGAGTTGGATCTTGAGGATTTAAATGAAGGCGACATTGGACTTCTCTGGAGGTTATAACATCAATTATCACTAAGAAAGAACAGAGTACAAGTACTGCAAAATAAACCCTTTTATAAACATTGAAAACCATCCTTTCGTTCTGATGCTTCAAGAGAGGTAAGATTGGAGTCAGTGGGAAGGGGCTTGCAGCAGTGCTCTTGTATAAGACTTGCTTTTTACTAAAACACTTAAATCAGAAACAGTAGAAGATACAATTTATTAATTAACTGCAGGCCAAGATGGAATAGGACTTGAATGTTTGCATTTACTTTCTGGTTTGTGCTGAATACAGAACACTTTTTAGTAAGCAGTTTATACATAAGTGCTACTTTGTATGTTTTGTGGGTTACGCGCCATTGAGAGTAGCCCTTAGAATGTATTTGTAACCAAGAAGCAGAGTGCAAGAGCCTGGAGAGAAGCAAGTCCCTTGTCAGCCCAATAAAGAGGACAGTGTCAGTAATTCCACACGTACCACAGGCTAAATTCTCTTTCACAGGATGAAGGAAAAAGACAGAAAAGCTGGTGTTCTTGTGTGGTACCACTTCAAAGTAAAGCAGTTCTGAGTCATCTAGAAATAAAATTACTATTTAGTGACATCCACCCATTGAACCTGGAGTCTTTTTAGCTGAATGACATGCCAGAATTAAAAAAAAAAACAAAACAAAACAACAACAAATCCAAACAAACAACAAAAAAAAACATTGATACAGTAGAATCTAATTATTCATTACTTTGGCAACTTAGTTTATGCTTATAGAAGTGTTAGGCCTAGGAGATTTTTTTAAAAAAATATTCAGCAGAATAATACTAGAATTAAGGAGTTTTTATCATTTAAAATACTCCACAAGTAATGACAGCTTTGGCAAGAGAGCAGTAAATCTGTTAACACCCAGCTTAGAAGCTAGTTTCTCTCTAATACTCTGCCATTCCATCCACACAATTTACCTTCATTTATATGCTTCTCAGAGACACAGCTGCTAATAAGAGTGTTATATGCCACCTGATGTCGAAGAATCTCTATTACGCCAGGCACACACTTTGGGTGGCTAAATGGGATTTTACTGACCAGGGCTCCTGCTAAATCTGATTTTTCTGATCCCTTGTTTATGAAGTAACAGTGCTTTGGGCAATCTGGAAGAGACTGAACAACAAATACAGTGATATTTCAAGCACTGAAAACAAGAAAGTAAGGCTTGATGTTATCAGGCAACTGCACAATCTGACAACAAAAATAATTTTGGAAGACACACTTCTAGCATGTCCATCATGTGTCTGCATTTCAGTAGAAATACAAGCCTTAGAGGAAGCTAAATGAGATCCACCGTCCCTCCCATACGCATCCAAATTAGGCAAACAGACTCAGAGCCAAGTGGTCAGAGTTCAAGTACCACCAATTCTTCCAACTTTTCTTATGAGCCCTGTAGTCTATAGAAAAGTTAACAACCAAGACCTTCCTTCAGAATAATATCATAGTAGTGCTGCTTGACAGTTGTACAAACAGGATAGCAGATTTGCCTGAAATCTCTTTGGGGCATCATATGTTTTTCCTCCCTCCATCACTACTGCTTGCTTTGGGGAAGCATGTTTGGCTAGAATATCTCCTAATGATTCATTTGAAGAGGAGGAGAAGAGGAGATAGTAAGGAAAATTTGCCACCTGTCCATGTTGACAGTCAATCTATGACAAAATTAGAAGTGGAATATTGTATTAGCTACTTCAGGATGCCAAATGGGAACTGTAACCTTAAGAACAGGGCAGGGCAGTTAATTAGCAGGGTCTATATTAGGAAAAGCTGAAGAGCTGAATGAAAGAGCTTTTCCTCATGTATTCATGGAGTAAAAGGGTTTCCCCTACATTTCTTTCAAGGTTAGAATGCAGTTTACTAATTTATATCTAGAAATAAAATCTTTAAACTCAGAAGCAAAATCATCTCCTGGCAACTACTAATATTTTAGGCAATTGCTGAAGAATTAGAGCCTTTTGCGTATATTTAATGGAAATGAAAAGTTCATCCCATTTGATGGTTTTTATAGAGAAGAGCTTTGCTAAACCTTATTTTAGCATGGTGTAAACTTACTACTATCTTCTGTACCATCACCTCAAAGTCCAGGAACTATGTAGGCAAGGGGCTCTACTAATGCTGCTAGTAGAAGAGAAAAAAGTGCCCTCTTCTTTTGTTGCCATGAATTGCAAAATTAATGCTTCCTAGCAAAAAAATTAGATCTTTGAAGCTTGTCTTGCAATTGCCCTGTACGTAAGTCTGTCAGAAAGCATCTTAGCCACCATTTTCTATTCTAAAACTTCTACCTCTAATGCAAGCTAAACTAAATATTTTTAATACAACAGTTATTAAAAGAGAAGCCATCTACTGTTAAACAATCATGCCTCTAGATAGTAATTGATATCACTGGTGTTACATTTTATACTTTTCTTCCTGCCGGTCTCTTTAAAAGGAATCAGTATTCTCAGTGTTATCTAATCAAGAGATCTTCTTTGTTAAAACAACATGATATTCAGTGTGACATGCAGCAGGATAAAGACCTTCAAAACACTAGGTAAGTACCATCCTGGGACTTGCTCCTCACAGCAGTCAATAAGTTTCCTTCTTTTTAAGGCATTAATGATAAAGTTCTAAGCAATTTTTAGAAGAGTAAACATTCAGGTTACACGCAGACAAATTAATATGACTTTAGAAGCCATGCATGCAGTGTTTCATTAATAAGAATGAGACACTCACTTACTTGAAAGTGTCTGCTATTGTTTCATAAATAACTGGATCTATTTCCTAAAGAGCATTTAAATACTGTTGGGATTCTGTGAAGTCTGCATTGCTTCCTTACGGGGAAATATAAATCAGTATATATCTTGCACAAGGGTAGAGTATGTGTCAAATGCACACTATACTCACCACAAAGAAAAAGGATTTGTGTGTAGACAAGTCTTCACTGCATTCTTCTTTAAGGGTAGACTGAACAATCAGCTCATATAGAGGAGCTAGTTTCAAGCCAGTAAGCTGGATTCCTGAAACCAGGTGATTTTTTTAATTAGCATTTAGGTTACGACTGTACATGAAAGCTAATATTAAAAACAAACCCAATGTTTTGAAAAGACAAAAACATTGATCTCCTTTCTTACTCCTTTTCTTGCTAACAGGAATTTGAGGTAGAGTGTTTAAACAGCTTTGCCTGTAATTGTCATATAACAGCTTTGCCTGTAATTGTCATATCTTTCTTAAGACTTCTGTGTTTTGCACTGGTTGCTAAAATGTTACACTTGGGCTGATAGAACAGCGCATGTTCTGCCCCAGAAACCAGTTTCTCCTCTTACAACATTAACAGAGAGAAATAAAAAACAAATAAGCAATGCATAGTCACAGAAGTACTTAGTCTAAAAAACAATTATAACATGCCTGTGAGCCTCTGTATCTCTTCAATACTGGATGAGGATATAGGAATAGGCTGGTGAAACTTCAACACAAAAAAAGCTGGCAAATCCATGCTGAGTTCATCAGTCAGTGGCAAAAAAACAGGGTTACTGGGAAAAAGAAAAAAAAAAAAAAGTCAGAATGAAAGCTTGTTACAGATATTGACATAAACAAGGACTCAGTACCAGGCTACTACCAGGTCCCTAGCAGTTTACTACATTCCATAATTTTTCTGTCTGGAGAAAAGTTTTGCTTTATAAACGCAACCATAGCCTTTAACATTTTAAACCAAGGTTACTGTGAGGACTGGCAGAAAGGAAAAGTGAGCCACCAGAAACTGAAGCACAGTGCACAAGGATGTTTGCTATAAATCGTTCTATAGTAATTTATTTTGGAGAATGACTACAGACTTTCCCACCAGCCTAGCACTGAAGTAGAGAGAGATGAGGTGTCAGTATCCATGGTGGCACGACAAACTGTTTTGTATAGTTAAGGTGTAGAATCCCTTAATATATGCTTTATTTATTCTGAAACCATGCAGGAGTTGCTTGCTGAATACCTAGGAAGTTAAGTAATAGTGTTCCAATGGCTCCTTCTGGCTTCAAATCTATTAATAAATTCATAGTTCAGTGCCATTGACACAGTTAAATATGAACACAATAACTTTAAAGTCCGTTTGGGAAAACTGTAAAAGCCACAGGTTATAGAGGGTGTACTATGGAGCATAATGCCATCAATAAAACAGAGCTTCCTGTTTAAGCAGAGGCTAAATGTAAGTTATGCTGAGGTTAGTGCCAATGACTGGTAAATCCATTTCTGTATTGAGAAGTGTCCAGAGCCTCACCCAGCCTCTCCAGCTTGAGAATCTACAAGCAGTGGAGAAAGAGGAAGTTTGTGGAGCGTATCTGTGCTTTCAACAGTTACAACTGTTTTTGTTCCACACACCTGGGAACCTGAGGGAGAAAGAGAACTGCATTATTTCCCTCATGTCAGTGTAGATTAATCCTGTGCATGCAAACCACGCAACGGTAAGGTCTTTTAAAGGCCAGGTCCCACTGACAGCCACAATGGCTTGGGCAGCAAGGAGAAGCCTGTGCAGATGACACCCAAAATGCCCAAGTTGCCCCATGGTGATAGCAGTGATAGCTGCTTTTGGGACATGCCATGCAACAGACCGAGCAAGCACCCGTCATTCTCCTGCTGGCTAGACAGTTATTTTGTTTGATATTACTCTCACTTCAATTTGGGTCAACAGCCAAGAAGCGGGAAAGTAGTTTCCTGGTGTACATTATAACTGTGCTAAAGTGCATCATGTAAGTCATTCTGCTAAACTAGAATTTGAAATCTTATTTCTGAGTTTCATTAAGGAACTTTGCTTAAGTAGTGCTGAAAAAGTTATCATATTATTTATTTCTACTTTTCTAGCTTTACCAGGATTTAGTTCTGCTTCCAAAACTTGATAGGGAGAAACGTAAAATTCAATGTTCGTGGGAGTTGCTGAGGAATTAAAAAAAAAAAAAAAAAAAAGTTACTACACTTGTCAGTAGAAGAAATATGTAGGCATCTTGACACAAAGGGGGGAAAGAACAAGAGCAGTGTAGATGGGCAGAAGGGAATTCCTCGGAAGAGTACATCTCTAATTGCAGTATATGTTCAAATCACAGCACTTTCTTAGTCAGCATTTAACAGCTAAACCCTCAGTGTATAAAGTCACCAGACATCTTTGAAAAGATTGGATCAAGTTTCTCTCTCTTGCACAATAACCTGTTGTTCAGCCTTAAAAATACTAGCTGAACTGCTAGCTTTCAGTGACTAGTCTGAAATAGAAGGGAAAGTTGTAATACTTGCATAAGGGACACTCGCATCAAATTGTGCAACAGGATAGTGGTATCATGTATTAGAAGTACTTTTATGAACTACAACACGTGGTTAAAACTCACTTCTGACAGTGTAGGTGAGCCAAAAATCTTACCAGCTGAATGTATTTACTTTTTAGGCAACATGAGTATTATCTCGGCTACTACCACTGTCAGCTCATGGTTACTCCCAAACTGTGGTTTCCCACATAACCTCAGAATATTGCTGATTTTGCTTTTAGGCTGCTGCAAAGTCAGTGTTGCAGTAGCTGATAAACCACCTGGCCTCTTTGTATTTTCTCCTTCTGTGTGCCTGTACACTACCTGAGAATACAGGCACAAATCGTCCCTACAGCGTTTATTGTACAATAGAGGATCTTAAGTGTAAACAAAGACCAACTCAGTAGGGTGTTTTATTACAATTCTTTGAGTCCATGAAGAAAGAAAAGAAAAAAAAAAAAATCACCTCCAGTTCTTGGCACCAGGTGTCCTACTTTTCCATGAAGTACTTCAGTAACTCTGTTTACATCCTGTGTTCTAGTTCAAAACACATCTTGATTAGTGTTTCCTAAGTTGCGGTGCTAGCTAGGCTAACGTAAAGGATAATTTGTACCCTAAATCAAAGGGAGATGGTGCTTTCTTGGAAGCAGATTGTGTCTCCATTTGTTATGACAGCTTCCAAAACACCATCGTTCCACTCATGCGTTACTCCTAAGACTTGGGCTTCCAGGTTCAACCCTGTATCTGAGTTGTTTCATGTTGTGATTTGATGTGCTATTTACCAGAAATTAAGGGGGTCAAAAACATTGGAGTAGCAGGTGGAGCAAAGAGTGAGGAAATAACCTGGATAAACTGACTCAAACAGAACCAGTCTCTAACCTCAAATGTGATCGTACAGCTGAATACATATGGCCATGTAACTACATAGCTGTGTATTAAAACTCTACAGTGCATTACCTTATATCACAGATGGGACAAATAATCTGTTTAACTCATAGATAATATTTACTGAGATATCAGTGATTAGCAAGGGTAGAGTATATTTGTTCATGAAGTTAGTATGGCTCATAAGGGAACACTGTACAAAAGTAAGCCAAGGGTATTTCAAGTTACAGAAGGCCATGCTTGCCGAGAGTACTTAATAGGCAAGATATCAGAGAAGGTGCTTCAAAAATCCAGAAGGAAATCACTGCCCTCAACTCTGATTTTCTGAAAAGAATCAAAATAATTGTATAATTACCAGAGTTTTTAGGAAAATCTGTTCCCCATCTATCTGTAATCCTACTTTTTGAAAGGAGAAATTACAAAAGGAAAGACAGGAGGAAAGCTAGCATCTACTACTCCTGATCTAAAATCCTGAGCACACAACGAGATACCCAAACAGCAGGACCCCGAAAGGTATATTTTACTTCTGCCTCAGGGAGAGCTAAACATGACTGCTGACTTTCAGACGCACAGTTTGCTCCTTGTGGGTGGTCACATGTGCATACACCCAAGCCGGGCAACCAACCAGTTTCCCAGCAAGTCTCAGATAAAGCACAGGAGTTCAGTAGCTAGTCTTGTTTGGCGTGCCTGGGGTTGGCAAACTGCAGAAAGGCTTCAAGCTTTCCAGTGGGAGAAAACTCATTAGCCTTCCACATCCTGCTCTATAATTAGATCAGTTAACTTGTTTTTTAGTGAAATGAAGGGGTGGGGGTGGAGGGAAAGGGAGAAAGAGGTAGACTTCAAGTTACCTGTCTAGAAGAGACATTGAATAAAGATCTTTTTCAAGGGCCTGTAAAGCAATGTATCCCTTAGCTTTCATCTCGCTGAGAGAGAGGGAGAAGACAAATTATTATTTTTGTAAGTAAACAAAAAGCTAGGCTATGGATTTTAAAAGTTTTTCAAGTGAAAACTAGTTGCAACCTGTTTCCTGGAATTTGATACAGATTTGACAGGTCCTCTAGAACCTTTCCAAAGGCATCATAGTTCTTCACCCTAACAAAAAGAAACAATTGCTATCACACTACTGAATTAGATGGATAATAAGTCTTTTATATCTAACTAGCTAGAAAAAACATCATTTTAGAGTGACATAGGCCTCCTCCTTATCAACTCTGGCAAGTAGCAGCACTGCTTTTAAATTTTATTAGAAGATACCAGGAAATACGAGTCCTTGGCTCTGTTACAAAAAGCAATGTAATTTTAGTTGACACTGGTTAAATATGCACTACTGAAAGCAATAGATGTGCATGATACACAAATTTGACAGCTCGTCAGATGCAAAGCATTTTTCCTGATGTTCCAATAAAGCTAGTCATGTAGTAACACTTCCCTAGTACAATGCACTTACACATTGTTCTTTTCATCAAAATATCAAGGATTGTATTAACATTACACTTCACAGCACCCTGTAGGACAGACAGATCCTGAATACAACTGATAGATACATCAATCAAAAAAGAACAGGGGACAGGTGACTTGCATAAGTTTGTGAAGGAGTGGTTCAGACTGCTCAAAATCCCAAATTCCTGCAGGTTCTGACTAGCCCTGATAGCCTGGAGCTCTGCTTGGACTAACCCACCAGGTATTTACTCACCTGCTTGAGAGGACTTTAAGTGGGTTTTACAAGCCTCAGTAAACTTTCTAGTGCTGCAGTCACACGGAGAGCTGTGCTCAGGAAGGCACACCTCCCCTTTCTGGGCAGATGTGGCTGCAGTGTGGACCAGCAGAGAGACCAAATAAACCTGCCTGGACTTTCACACTGGGACAAATCCTTTCCAAACAGAAACCTAAAGAAGTCACTTGGCTCTTCCGTGACTCTTTCCAACTGGAGTGGTGGGGAAGCAGGGGAAGGGGAAGGAAGCAGGCATGCAGGTACAGGCATAGACACGGCACCAGCCTATGCATTAGCTGGCTGGTTCATCATGATTTTATAGTTGAGACCTAGAGAAAACATTACACATGTAAGAAATGTCTTATGACCAAATAAAATACTACACCAAGAGGTGTAGAAGGGATTCATGCCAAATCCTAACAAAACCAGGAAAGCAGACAAGTTGTACCCACAGTGCCAATGGTAACTATAAGCCATCACTCAGAGCCAAACTGATAGCAGTTAACATCACTGGGAGTCAAAAACCTAGGAAAATGCAAGTTTAAACTTTAAGACATAGCTGTTTACACCCATAGGACTAATACAACTTAATTTCTGAGGAAAGAGGGATGGAAGAACTGATGATGCATTACAGGTCCACATAGAAGAGAGATGAAATACACAAGGTCAGTGATTATTCCTTCTCTCTTTCCCTTTCAACTGTTCTGCCAAGGTATTGAAATAAGAATCAAATTTCTTAGATATACTCATTATTAGTTAAGCCTGGAACCTTGATCATATTGGCTGGAGAACTTCTAAATGGACTTTTAAAGTGGTGGCCTGACCTGGAACAGCAACTATTCAGACAGAAAAAAAAAAAAAAAGTGGTAATAACAACAACAAAACATATATAGTAACCTAGTGCTACATGAGAAAATTAAAGTAACATCTCCTCCTATGCATTTGCAAAGAGGAACAGGCCATGTGATATCACCTTGCTTTCATTGCTGGGACAGAAGCCTAAAGGACATGTAGTTAAGACATTTGCATAAGGACAATACAAAGACTATTTAGTATTTGATGGAAGGAGAAAGGGAAAATTAATATCTGGTTTGGATCTGAAAATCTGCCAGTTCTGAATTGTCACCATCAGTCCATTTCCAAAATTATGGCTCCAAGTAGTTCTATAATTCTTGCAATCAACACAAATGCCAGTATTCAAAGGCTATGTTCAGCTGCCAGCTAGAGCCAATGTATTGGGGATTACTCTTTCCCCTCACTCCATTGAAGCAGATGCAATTGAGCTGTTTTCAGTGGAATGACCTGAGAAATAAGTAATGCCTGGAATATCTTTTCAAAATTATGCTTGCTACAGTTTTAGCCTTGAAGTTACAAATTGGAAGCAGGCAATAACAGTTACAACAATCACTGCTCCAATACAGAGCACTGAACCAACTTCCCACATAAAATCTAAAAAGGTGTCAGTTCTTCTGTTGTTTTCTGGATTCATATTATTGTTTCTTGATTCTTGCTTTTTTCTTTTTTTCTCCAGTTCTTACACTGAAACCATTCTAGCCTTGACTTCTCCACAACATTTGGAGAAACGCAAGACTCCCTTCAATAGGAGACTCTGCACATGATTGTTTACCTTAGATGCTGCGCCAATTCATCACAAACCTACAGGAATAAGAAGAGTTTCAATTTTCTTACCATTCTCTGTGAAACACCTCTTAAAAACATGTCACTGGTAACGGTAAGATTGTTACTCATTACTTTTAAATAGGTGAACGGCTAGCTTAAAAACCCAACCAACAAAAAACAGACAAGCATTACAATAGTTAAAATATAATATTAACATAATAATTAGAAGAACAAAGGCTCTGTGGAAGAGGATAAAATTAACAGAAATAGTTTGTTGATAAATTATTTCCAGAAAAAAAAACGGCATAGTTGCCATTTTTTTCTTTTATTGGCAGTTACTGTGCTAAAATTCTCTGGATATGCATTTCCATCCCAATAACATTGTCCAGCACTCACTGATCAACAACCCTGTGCTGGTCAAACAGAACAACTTGAAATTCCTGGGCTGACTGTAACTGAAAAAGAGGGACTAAATGAACTCCAAATTAATGTAACAATTTGGATACTTACTGATAAAAATCAGAGTTTATGCTCCCTGCAACAGCTTGTTGTTCTATCTTTGATCTGAAGGATTGTCTGTAACTCTGAACTGCAGAACACGCTATGCGAACTGCAGGGTGATATTTTGCCAATATTTCAAAGGACAAGCATACAAGTGTTTATGCAGGGTACTGCAAAATTCTTGGCATGTGGACACGTCAGCTGAATTTTACCTTAATATTTACCACTACAGTACTTGATATCTGCAAGTGAGTTGTAAGTTTAGGTGAGAGATTCAGGTGCCTGAAGGGGTAGCTAGTGTCACACACGGGCTGACAAGACCAAAAGGAAGCCAAAGACTTTCTGACATGGCAGCTGGAGGCCAGGAGGGAGACTACGGGGAGGTAAGAGAGAGAGAAAATTAACTTTACCACAGGGGCTTCTCCAAGGTGAGCCAACTTTACATCTATCACCTTCCCATCCTTCTCCAGCTGAACTTCTAGATAAAACATGTTCGATGTTATGTAGCAGGCAGTCCCACTGGGGCTAACATGAGTGTTAAGCCTGAGGAGAGGGGAAACATAAAGAGGGAAAAAAAAAAAAAAATGTCACATGGAGAAAGGAAATGAGTATAGTGTACTTGATCGTGGGGAGAGATGCCAGGGATGCTTCAGAAATAACTCTTCCTTGGCTCAACTTTTGAAAACTATCCAACCAGGCAACATATTTGTACTCTGCTCTTTGCATTATCATGTTGGTTTGCTGAAAACTATTTACCTCGCTCTGCAGCTTTGGGACCTAGGCATGCATGCCCTCTCTTCACCCAACAACCTCCTTTACAGAAGGCTAATCAGAACAGGCAGTTAGCCCATTTCAAGTAGTGCACTTCATCAGAACACCGAGCTAAAAAAAAATATTGTTGACAAGCCATCCAGATGGTATTCCTCACTGGACTTTGGGCCATGCTTGCTCATTTGTATTTATCCATAAACAAACTTACCCTTTTTGTTTGGATAAAGATTCCAGTCTGCTCATCACAGAAAACAAAGATTTAGCTGCAAAAAACAAAAATGTCATTTAATCAGGCTGCAATAACCAGTATTATCCTGCTTTAAAGGGTATGATTTAGGTAATGAGAAAATAGTATCTCTTGCATGACTTCTTGTTATTAATGACAACTATTATCCTGTGATTAACGAGTGCTGTGCTGGGTAGAGCTTATTCTCAGGCTTTGAGAATAGCTATAGCCTGAAGGCTTAGCTCAAAGATGAGTCACAAGTCTCATGTGTCATATTCACCTCTGTGTTTGCACATTTGACCCCTTTGTGCAGAACATCACCAGTACAGAAGGATGGGCAGTTTCCATAGAACACTGAGAAATACACTTTGAGTTATCTGACAGCTTGTTACCATTTAACGTCCTCTGTATCTTCTCCATGCAAGAGAGCAATGGGCCATCTGGATCGTTACAGACAGGCTGTGGAAGGGGCTTATCCTAGCATGTTTGTGAAAACAAGAGACAGAGAAAAACTCCTTAAATGAGTAGCCAAAGAGGAATATCACTGCATACCAGACACAGAACACCGACACCCAGTACAACAAAATGCTACTGATTTCTTTTTGTCAAACAGAGGGGACCTGTGATTGTAGCTATCTCTAAAGTGGAAGCACTGAATGGACTCGTGAAGACCCTGTTGTGAAGTAATTATATACCTGAGGCCTTTGGAGCAGGGAGTGGCTTTCCATTCCCTTTTCTTTTGAGCTGAACACAAGCTACATCAGCTAATTTCACCCCAATACTAGAGATCAACTAAGAAATTATCTAGATTTTTATTTTAGGAGGAACCTGTCTTAGAGATCAGCAAGCGCCACAGGTGTACTTGGTTAGACCCAGGTGCAAGTTCCAGCTGAAGATATTAAATAGCAAGTAAACTCTCACAGCTTCTCTTCTAGGTCTTGTCTGAACACTCCTCATGCTTCACACTTCAATTCACAAAGAACATCTACTGCTGAAAAGTTTTCACTATGTTCAAACTCAGGACATTGTTTTTAGAGTAAGGCTTTAGTTATGCATTAATAAAAAGAAGCATGGAAACAGGTGGGACTTCTTATACTAAACTCACAGCAGTTGTGCTAATCTGCTTTTTACAAAGGTGATTCTTAATTAGCTGCTGGAAGGGCAGGAAGCATGGAAGGGCTTAACTTATATCACAACAGGAGAGAGTCTAGATAGCAGATTTCAGGCCAGTTTCTGAGAAACAGTCTTTTCTCACAGTCCTATGGACAAGAAATTGTCTTTATGTACTATGAATGTGCTGATGATAATGAAAATAACCTAAAGTTTTAGACAATCATCACTAACTCCCAAAGAGTTAAAATAATGCAAGAAAAACCCTAAAGTGTTAAAACAATGTGGGGGGTGGGGTGGGGTGTGTTGTTTTGTTTTGTTTTGCTTTTTAAAGTCAGGCAGGTTTTGAACCATCTTGGCCGCCTGCTCTTACACCACATACCCTTCTCTCACCTAACCTGTGATTCTTACCATGCAGAAATGGACAAGTTTCATAGTTTCAGTCCATGGTTTTTGTTGGTATTTTAAATGCAACCGTTCCATTAAAGCCTTTGTAGAAATAGCTGTCACAGCACCTGAAAAACATGTCAAAATGTTCTAAATATAATGGCATGTATTTACATTGGCAATCAGAAAAGTTGGAGGAAAAATATAAAAACTTGCTAAGGTCATAGGTGTTGTGCTTCAAAAGAGGAGGTAGAAAAAGGTTGTTTTAGTTGAATTTTGAATACAAATATCTTATTTCTGTAAGACTTCTGACAGAAAAAGGACAGGGGGTGATTTTGTATAGGCAAGTATTCTCAATATTAAATACAGAGATGCAGCCCAATCTTCAGCTTGTTAAACAGCTAGGCTTGCTTTATCTATGCACAATCTCATATGTGTATTCTTAATAAATACGGAGGCCTTGCCATGGGTTTCAGGCATCCAGATTTCTACACCCACGTAGAGCTCAGTAGAGATAATAGTGATTAGAGAGAATTTTTTTACCATAAGGGTGGTGAAACACTGGCACAGGATGCCCAGAGAGGTGGTAGATGCCCCATCCCTGGAAACTTCCAAGGCCAGGTTGGACGGGACTCTGAGCAAGCTCATCTAGTTGAAAATACCCCTGCTCATTGCAGAGGGGTTGGACTAGATGACTTTTAAAGGTGTCTTCCAACCCTAATTATTCTATGATTTTATGATTTTGCAGAGAGATAATCCCAATGTGGAGTTGCATGGGGTTGGGGGGGGTTTTTTGGTTTTTTGGTGTTTTTTTTTTTTTTTTTTCCTTCTCTTCTCAGTGGGATGGCAAGGAAAGAGAACGGGGCCAGGAGAAGGAACATTTTCAGCCCATCATCTGTCTTCTTTTAAATATTCTTTCTGGCCTTACATGGAATCCAGAGGCTCAAATAAAGTTTTTTCGCGGAGACATAGTGCATCCAGAACCACTAATTCCATCAGGAATAAACCTGGAGTGAACTTCCTAATACCTCAGCCTGAGACAGGCAGGAAGACTCCAAAATGATTCATTCATAAGAAGAAACTGAGTCCTTGCAACATACCACCCACTCTGCTCTGCCCCTTAGCACCAGAAGAAACATCCCAAAGTGCTTCTTTGACCTGAAGGGCACAACAGCCACAGAGAATTGTCCCCGTTGAGCTAACAGCACTGCAGGGGGGAAGGGAGGCAGACTAGGAGAGGGACTTCTATGCCCTTTGCATACAGCAAGCAGGGACCGTGAGTGGGGGCTGACAGCATCTCCCTCCTGCTGAGAGGATGAGGGAGCAGAAACCACAGTCCCTAGAAAGGAGGCCAGCTCAACCAGCTGGAGAAAAGGGAAGCAGTGGACCCCAAACAGCTCTTGCAAGCACCCGCACCAGGGAACATGCTCCCCACTCACCTTGATGCCTACAGAAGGGCTGTGACCTACCCTGTGCCTCCATCTCCATCCACACCACAAGAAACCAGAGCTCCTACTTGTAGCACCCACAAGTGCTGTGCAAGGCAGAAGGCTTGCTCCCTCACAACACTGGTCCCCAGGGGTTAGAGTTTGAACTTGAGAAGCTTGATAAGCACAGCAACATCACCTCTCAACTCTGCTAATGTTTAGGAAGGGTGAGGCACCCTGTCAGTCATGCTCTTCCACATCTAAGTCCCAAGAAGGCGGCATAATGTTGTCCCCATTCTTTTCAGAAGGTGTAGCACTCAGGAGAAGACTGAATTTAACTGGGGGAGAAAGGCAGGGGGAGGTATGATAGCAACAATCAGCAAAACAGGGAAGAACTCTATAAGGGACCTTTTATTCTAGCTTAGGGATGGAAGGAGGGGAAAAAAAAAAGTGCCTATAGCTGTCTATAATGTTGCATCGTATTTGTGCATCCTTTTGTGGCCACCTCATGTTGCTAGTCTCCTTGTACATAGGAATCAGTGCACAATGGCAGTGTGAGGTTCAAGGTTTAATCCTGCACCTTTGTACTGGCACTGGCTTGAAACTTGGTGGCTGGGGAATGCCAGGTCTGCAGCAAGAGGAGCATGTCTCCTACGTAAACCCAGTGTGGCAGTGTTTCGAGATTTCTTACAGCATACTTTCTGTTTTCAGCTGTCACCAGTCATGCTGCTGTGCCTGAAATAGTCTCATAACATGTAAAGGAGATGATCTGGGACTTGTATAAAGGTACCTGCAGAGAAACTAAATAGCCTGGTGGCCTCACTAAGATTACAGAGAAAACTATCTATGGACCTACGAATCTCAAGAGAAGTATAAGGTATGTGCCAAAAAGTGGTATTTGTCTCCGAGCAGACAGGTGTCACACATATTATTTAGGGAAAGTCAGTGCAACTGCAAGAATTAAGCATGTTTGCATTTCAGTCTTTACAAAGGAGGTGAAAGGTGATCAAGTAAATTGATGATGTGATTCCACACTTGTGGTAGATCATACTTCCCTAAAATTATTAGCTTGGATTATGCTATTAAATGTTCATTTATTTTTAAAACTGATATTAGAAGTGACTAGCTATAATCATAAGCTTTACTTGTGACTTGGTGCATCCATTTAAAAACATGTTTTCAGCATTACTAGAGAGGCATTTTAGCTGAGGTTTACTTGAACAATGTATAGGAATGTTTTCTGCTGGGAAAGAACATGTACTATGGCCCATATAAAATAAGTAGGTTGCCTCAATCCAGATCATGTGGATGGGTGTGTGCACATATGACATACCACAGCTTGGTAGTGTTTAATATTTTTGTGGTACTTTTCATAAATATTTGCCCTGATCCAGAGCTCATTGGAGGCTCTGTGGTCTTGATACTCACTCCAGTGGTTTGATCATGTCCTGAATAAGCAGAAAATTAAATTATTTGCTGACTCTTTTGAAGAGAACACTTCCAAAATAATGGAGGGAAACATGCCACTGCTTACCTTGTCTGCACAATAGCTGTTCTGCAAATAAACGGCTTGAAGTTAAAGTAGTCACAGTCCAGCATGGCTGATAAGCCTAAAACTCACCTTCATTTTTAAATTCAGAATAACCTTTTCTATTGTGCTCAAATGTATGGATGTAAGTAGATGAATTTATATCATTTTTCCAGGACTGGGATAGTGCCGGATTTTCATATCAAATATTCCAAGTCAAGTAGTAGCCTTTGTACCTACATAAAATTGTACCATTGGCTACATTCATCCATAAGAAACAGCAGCTTAAGCATTGTCAGAAAACTCCTCGGATCAAGGTGTTCCAGTATTCAGAACTGTCATATCAAATTACCACACTCAAGAGAAGAGTTAAGTGTTGAATAATTAAAAATGTTCTAATTTTAGCATCTCGGGCATATTAGATACACAAATGTTTAACTGGGTCAGTTCATGTAAAAAAACCCAAACAAACAAACAAACAAACAAACAGCCAAGCATTACCATCAGTATAAAAGATAACAGGAATTACTGCACAAATCCTGCATACCCACCTGCTCTAGATTACTCTTTCTGTGCTCAGCAAAAACTTCTGCTGAAAGAAACTTTCATGCACACAGTTACAAAATAAGTTGTCCCCAAAGAAAATCTTCTCTTACTTTCAAATAATTGGAGGGTATATTATCCTCTTTAAAAGGGTTAAAACTGGTATGCTTCTTCAGGGACCTTTTGAGAAATTAATTATTATTACTGCTTTATTTATTTTTGTCATGATTTTCGGCATCTTGCTAAATTCCTGACTTCGTAATATGCTTCACAATGCATGCCCTGGGAACACTGTGATTCATATGAAAAAAACATTTTGTAATTTCATAGTTCTTCCATTTCTGATGATTTTTCTATTTCATTGAATGGTACTTTGTTTTTCTGAGAAAGGATCAACACATTTTCCATTCATATTCTTGCATGAATTAAACTATTTGTTTCAGTGAAGATACTCTAGACTTAATACAGAACAAGGGGGCTTTGCATACTGTTGATACATTTGAACGATAACAGTTTGAAAAAGATTCCAGGAATTCCATATTCAGCGCAACATTGGTGTATCTTTCTGTTTCTAGTTTCTTTTGGGAGGCTGGGGGTTGCTTTTTTCTATTATTCTTACATCCAGTCTTGATTTTTTTTTTCATCTGAAGAACAGAAAGCAAAAAACATCACAGCAATATCTTCACTGGCCTGCTTCCAGCACTGTCTTGGAACTACATCTCTCCAGAAGCCCTCAGCTGAACTGTTGATCAGAGAAAACAGCAGCTACACAACCACCCACAGTAAGTCTAAATACAGACTTGGGGCTTAGGGCAGTCGGTGGAAATCAGGGGTTCCACTTAGAACGGCAGGATGTGTACGAGGTGTCACTGTGATTATCAGAACTGATACCTGGTCAGGAGATCAGAGGTAATATTGTGTTCTTCCACAAAGTGCCATGGGATTTGAGAGCGACCAGCAGTGAGAGGGCTATAAAATGGGCATGTAACTGAAACATTTTATCAAAAATGGTGAGCATTCAGATAATTCCTTTATCTGAATAAAGGTGCTCTTCTATCTAAGGTAGGCTAACCCCAGTGCTGCTTAGCTTTTATGAACCATAGCTTAGTCTGATATGGTCTATAGTTTATGGTTTTACAACCCATAAATACTACAATATGTTCTGCCATCTTTCCTTCACTCCCTACAGCATCTGCACGGTTATGAGGTGTAAATACTTTGTTTCTGAGAGTAACATCAGAATTTTGGTGTCTGCATTTTATTTCACTACAGCCACATAGACTGAACCAGTTTTATGTCACGACTTACTGAACAGCACTTCTGGCACTGTAGTCTGTGGCACTTGATGCTGGCAGGCTTTGACCGTTTCCTGCTCCTTCACTGAAAGTGATTAAGATCTTTCAAAGCCAAAGGCTGCAGAGACAGACATCCAAAAAAATAGGTTCATAGCAGATGGCCATGGACATGCATGTAGAAGTGCATTGACACTGACAGGGCATATCTTTTCCCAGGAGCATTGTCAAGAAATAGCTAACATCTGATTTCTGGTTGACATCACCATCATAATCTCCAAGTAGTTCTTGTCTAAGTCTTTTCCCAAAGGTACTAGGGACATGCAACTGTGATTTAAATAACCTCATGAATGAGCACGACAGGGCTGGCTTCACATGCGCGCATTTTGCCTTTACAAGATTTCACAGGATACCATAACTGGTGTTCATAACAGCAAATTTGTTGCTTATCCCACATCTCATCTTTTTAAGAGTCTTCTGATAATTTTTATAATTAAAACCAGGTGTCACACCATTATTCATGTTCTTTACTGACATCAGTCAGCTGAAATCAATGGAAACCATCACTTTAGAGCTGCAACAGGTCTCCTTCAAGATAGGGATAAAGCAAATGCAGCTCGGATGTAACCTGCAGGATATGGCAGAATTAGTAATAACCATAATAAGTTGAAGGTCCACACTGAAAATGTTACTGTTAGAAGAGGGGGGAAGAACGAGAGCTAAGAGTTAGCTGAGGAGCTGAAAATCATGATGAGCACTGAGGAGGTAAATGAGGTAGAGAAAAGATGAAATAGAGAAAGAATAATTGTGCTTAAAGGAGCTTTCCCCCAGTGTGTCTCAGTGCTAACAACACAGGAGGCTGGCTTAATTATCTTGTTTTTCCAGACTGGGAAGCAGAGAGATGGGGAGAGGAAGTGACTGCTGAGCTGACCACAGCCACAGAACTAGAAACCAAACTGCAGATTACCTGACTCTACTATAGCACATCCCCATCAGAAGTAAGAAGGAAACTTTCAAAGATGGAGAGAATGAGATGGGGAAAGAGGCTAGAGAAACACAGGAGGAAAGGCTGTAAAAAGACACATAAAGCCATGAAGTAAGTATGAAACCGTTTGAAGTATGAAAAATAGGAGCAATAGAAAAGGAAGTATATGGAAAGCAGAAAAGATACAAAAAGGAAAAGGTGAGAGAAATAATTATATAGACAACTCTTAGATTAGAAAAAATATTTTTACAGTATTTTTTGTGTTACTTTAATGACAGAAAAGTGAAATTAATTTAGGTCTACTTTGAGCTATTTCAAACCAATGTTGGTTTGGAGATGATTGTTATATTTAAGTGTTCTGGATAAATATATATCAGGATATGAGTTATATAACATGCAGACTGGAAAAAAAAAAAAACAAAACAACAAAACACAGTACTCAGTGGCAAATACTGATTTCAGTAAAACAGTATGTGGGAAGGACACATTTTTCAGCAAAGACAATACCATAAAGAAGCTCAATCCCAACAAATGCCAATCAAAGATATTATACCAGTGCTATGTAAACAGGTACTCCACATAAGCTACATACTTTACATCCTTCTATATTGGTTAAGCAATTTGATACTGCTTTTCATATCATGTTTTAAAACCAAAACTAATTAAACTATGAAAGCTGGTTATAAGTACATGCAGTAAACATTGTACTATACGTTTTAGTGCCTGTATATTTTTAGACATGTGGTAATTCCTTAACTATGTTCCTAATAATGTTTTTGTCTATTCTAATATCTCATAAACCAACTGTGCTCTAACCCTCAAGTCTCAGATCTCCACATTCCTAGTCACTTACTAGAATGATGTAACTTCTCCTAGCTCTGTTGAATGACAAGATGAAGGACTGCAAACTCATCATTACTCTTGGATTCATTGTTATTCAAGTCACTTCACTGCACTTTCTCTATAGGCATAAAGTGTTCAGGGATGGGTTATCCTTTCAAAATGGTAAGAAAGCGATGAGTGCTAAGCACCATGACTAGCCCAGATGGGGCACTGAGAATAATGTCATTTGGACAGCTAATAGAGTTAAGCAAATGCAAGTATCTCATTACCTAACAGTTTAATACAATAATTCCACTAGCCTGTTTTTAAAGAGTATGTATCTCTTTGTAGGGGGACACTTGTGACAGGTTTGGAGGCAGCCAGAGATGATGGGAAGCTCCTCTGTCGGCTGACAGATTAAGATGTCCTTGCGTTGAGCAAGAGTAGTAGGAGCAACTGCCCACACAACCTCCGTGTGTGTGTGCGTGTTGATTTGTAGCATTCAGAATCTGGACCGGATTGCTTCATTCTGAGAATAGGTGATGCTTATCTGTGCACATCACAAAAGTATTCCCTGAGTTGTGTGTGCTGCAAAAGCATACAGAAAGAAAGGCTATTCCTGGCTTGTAAAGCTTAACCTCTGGATACAAAAGGCAGATGAAAGTTGGGATGAGAAGTGGAGGGACAGTGGACTGGTATGTCATGGCTTAACCCCAGCAGCAGCTCAGCCCCAAACAGCCAGGCACTCACTCCCCTCTTCAGTGGGATGGGGGAGAGAATCAGAAGGGTAAAAGTGAGAAAACTCATGGGTTGAGAAGAACACAGTTTAATAGGTAAAGCAAAAGCCGCGTACGCAAGCAAAGCAAAACAAGGAATTAATTCACCACTTCCCATGGGCAGGCAGGGGCTCAGCCATGTCCGGGACAGCCGGGCTCCATCACACGTAACGGGGGCTTGGGAAGGGAAACGCCATCCCTCCAAACATTCCCTCCTTCCTTCTTCTTCCCCCAGCTTTTATTGCTGAGCACAATGTCATATGATATGGAGTATCCCTTTGGTCAGCTGTCCCAGCCGTGTCCCCTCCCAGCTCCTTGTGCCCCCACAGCCACTCGCTGGTGGGGTGGGGTAAGAAGCAGAAAAGGCCTTGACTCTGTGCAAGGGCTGCTCAGCAGTAACTAAAATATCCCTGTGTTATCAACACTGTTTCCAGCACAAATCCAAAACATAGCCCCATACCAGCTACTGGGAAGAAAATTAACTCTACCCCAGCCAAAACCAGCATGGAGTAGAATTAAGATTACCTGAATCCCAGTGCAGTAGGCTGTGCCCTAAAATCTGTTTACCGTATTTTCAGTCATTTTTACTTGTGATTTCTCACAACTGGTACAAACTGCAGGCAGGTGAAAGCTCCCAGCTCTTTCCTTTTGTTGGCGGGCTGTGTGTGTGTGATTCTCCCCAGAATACATCATGGATTTGAGAAGCTAGATGGTTTCTCTCCTTCAGTCCTGCTACTTAAAAACTCCATTAAATCACAAATACATTTCATGCATCCTTATGCATTGGTAATAAAATGTTGTCTAATACAGTTGTGCCACCAGCCTAAGAGAGAAGAAATCACCTGTAACACCAGGAAATCCTACCTCCCTGTGCTGATTTCAGTTCAGCAAAACTTTGCAGCATAAAGGCCCACAACATATCCACAGACCTAGGAGATGCCAGGCTAGTCGATTCTGGACTGAAATCAGAGGATGCCCTCAAAAAAGCAGTAGGAAGTTTTCTTCCCTTTCTATTTTGTCCCATAGAAAAATGAAGTCTCTCTCACCCTGGACGATTTATTGAAATCTTGAAGGAAGAATAATTGTTTTATGCGTGATAAGGTGGTTTTCCAAAGAAGGTGGTTCGTTCATTCATGTCAACAGAAATCTAAGATAAAATTACAGTGTTAAATTATGCATGCTTTAGATATATATTGTGCACTATAAAATGTGTGCTAAATTAAAAGGAACAAGTATTTTTTGTTGGGAAATTTTTCCTGGGAAAGGAAGTTGCACATCAATGTTTTTCCCCAAAGGTTCAGACATATTTTGTCTGACATGCCCACTGTATCTTTAGCTTTTTAAAATAAATAAAATTCTTGTCAGTACTGGTTGATTAGTTAATCGTATTATGGTACATAATGCAAATACTACTAGCACACAGTTAATTACATCTCTGCTTAATCACACATTGTAATTTTTCTCTGCAAATATTTTACGTGCGGAGCACCCATGCTAATAGCTAGCAAAGGGCAATTGTTCCGTACGTCCCTCGGGCTGCATTGCAAATGTCTGCCACTCCATCTGTATGGTTTTAGGTGCCTGCTGCAGCATTTGAATGCCAGAGAGCAGTGAGCAAATCAAACTTGCTGCTACCTTGGGCTGCCCAGCCCAAAGTTCCTAAGCAGTCAATGGAGTGGAATAGCTGCAATACCTACTCTCCTCTGGCCGGTTGCTCTCTTACACTGAGGAGACAGAGTGATGCCCTAAAATGTCACGGGTGCTACAGAGATGCTCTCACTATGGTCACTTTCTGGCAGCTGAATAGGAATTATTAATGTAATGCCTTTTCATGGAAATATTTCTGCTAGTTTGGGATTAAAGAGATCATTTCTTCCACTTGCTTTAGGCAAGGTGCCAGGGGACATTCCACAAACGGAGGATGAGGGGTATACCATAAACTGTTTTTTACTGCATTTATGATATGCAGCTTGGGCCACGGGACAAAAATTCAAAATAAAATTACATTTTTTGTCTTAAACAAGATAGCTCTAAAGGGAGATCGAAAGGACAAAGGCTATGTCCATTAGCAAGCAACATGGTGCAAAAGGGGCATTTCCATCGAATGAAACGGTTGGGATCAAGGTCCTGGCACCCACACTGTATGTATTAGGGGGGCAGGTCATGCCTGGCCCCGGACAGAATGCCCAGCAGCAGCGGAGGTGCTGAGGTGCACTCCTGCAGCGCATCGCAGTGTCCCATCCCGCACAAATCCAGTCTGCCTGTTCCGAGGCCACTCCACAACTCAGATCAAATCAGGACAACCCAGAGTTTAGTTTCAGAGGTGCGGTCCTGATCTGAACCGCGGCGCTAACGTCCAAAAGAATGTCTTTGATACCTTTTAGGCACGATCTAAGCTACTATTAAAATCAAGACAAAGATCTGGTTGACTTTTGCAATGGAGCTTCCCTTCCACACAATGTAGCTGGCCAAGAAAAGATGAAGGGAACGAGAGAGGGAGAATAGGAGTGACTGCATGTGCATTTTGCCAAACACCGGCAACACCTTTTCTGCAACCGATGATTTTGAGAGCTGTGTGATTTCAGGGCATGATTGAATGCAGGGCTTGAAGGCAGGGAATCATCATTCTTGGCTTCTCGGTGCGCTAGGAAGTACTGAATGGCTGCAGCGCTAACAACACCTTAACTGTGACTCAGCCACTCTTCCAACGGAAGGGTTCGGGAATACGTATTAAGAAGTAATACCTTATATAGATACTCAAAGAGCTGCAGAAGTTGGGCCAGGATTTCTTGAACACCCCTGAATCAATATGTGTACAGGGTCATGCTGAGACTCTTCTGACATTTTCATGGTCTCATGAAAAGGCTAAAAGTAGCTAGAATGCAAATCTTCCCCTGTCACAAAATATCCAAAAGGTTTTGTGTTTCACTTTGGCTGTTCTGTTGACTCAGTATTACCAGCTTTCCTTCCTCCCCTCCTTTTTCCCCCCTTCCATTTAACAGAATCCAACATTTCTTTGTTTAAATGAATGTATTTTGGTATTTTAACCGGAAAGAACTGCATCTGGATTGTTCCTTTATTGCTATCAGTTTCTCAGACTCTGTGGAATATGCAAAAAATAGCTCATGCTGAAATGTGAGGCCAGCGAAATGAAATCCTAGAGGGAGATGGACTAAATGCTGGCTAAATCTCCAATATGTCAGAAATTGCAGAAAACTGAGCACAGAACACAACAAAGAAGATTTTAAAGTGCACCTTCTTTGCGAATACCATGCAATGGCTGCGTGATGAGGTTGAAGATTTCCAGGTGAGGTGACAAAAACTGTAATTTCCAGACTTTGGAACTACCTTCGGCCAAGTAATTATGGGGAGGAGGGGAGGGGTGGGAACAATTTGTGTCATCCCTAAATGGTTACAGCCTGATAAAACAAAAACACACACCAAGCAGTCAATTTCTGTATTGCAATTCCATTACATCACTTACATGATGAATTTAAATCATGCTGTGTTTGCACAAAGCGCCCAGCTAAGTCAATGATTTAACGGGGAATGACACAGTTATCAAGGCATCGTTATTATTATTTGAATTATTAACATGGAAACTGTCCTCTCGTATCTCCCCATTTTGTTTGGCCTCTATGAACCCCTCCATGCATGAAGTGGTCCACGACTATAAAAACACCACCCTAGTGATCTCAGTGCTTCACATTCCCTTCTGCCCGTGATAATTCTTAAACTCAGTATATTAAACGTTTCCTCAGCTTTTACATGTCCCTTGAGGGAAGCTCACGTTCTGCTTTCACCACTAAATAATAACTGTGTTTGTAAACCTAGC